CTCATGATGGATATATTTCATTAACGGACACCTACACCTTACTTGCATTTGCCCATGCTTAGAAATTAGAATGCTATATAAAAAATAATTTTATGTGTAATTTTTAATATATGTGCGTGGAAAATATTTAATTTTATTTGTTTAAAATTAGTATAATGGTTGAAACGAAAAGGGGGCGTTATGTAGTGCAAAAGACAATATGGTACTGAAACCGAAAGCATGGGACTCCCGTGCCCTCCTTCTAAAAGGTTGAAAAGGATAAGAACAAATTAAGAAGCCTTTTCTCATCTGTCTTTTATGCCCCTGCATTACATGCATCCATGTCATCTTACCATCCATGCATGTATGCATCAATGCATGCATGTCCTTTCAAGCCCAACATACAATTCCACTATCGTTATATTGTGGGCCAGAATCCATAATGGGGGTCCATCATGTGTATTTTGGGCTTATCCAAATTATGTACTTGGTTGTTAGTGGGAGGTGTGTACTAAGTAAATTAGACAATTTATATCGTGCATCACGGCACACATAGCAATGTGCGCTCAGACACAAAACGCGCCCATTTCAATTGCTGATGTTATTTCGTTTGTTCAAACGGTCAAAATCCGGCCATTATGTTATTCAGTTAAAAGTTTATGTGTATTGTGTTATGAGTTTTTATATATTCAGTTAAGAGTTGATGTATATTCAGTTATGAGTTTTTGTGTATTCAGTTAAGAGTTTCTGTGTATTATATATCATGTTAGATTATGTATATTCAGTTATGAATTTCGGTGTATTCTGTTATGAGTTTATGTGTATTTGAAACAGATAATTTTTTTTTTTTTTGGACAATTCTTCAACACGACGTCGTTTTGGGAGGCGCCCTGGTGCACGGTATAACGATTGGTAAATCATGCCTTATGACTTTAGTTGTCAAAAGATCACAATGAGGTAAACCAGCTTAGATTGTTCATAGCTGACCGGCTCAAATCAAGAAGGCTAATAGGTCGTTATCACTAAGAGTCAAACTTGTGGCATTGTGATTACTAAGTTACTAGTCTTATTACCAATTTGGACGGGGTTGTCCCCACAGTTAATATAATATGTAACTTGTATTTATTTACGTGTACATAATATGTTAACTACAAGTACATAATATGAACCAGAGTTCACAATTCAATGTGCCTGGTGAACCCTAGTCCATGATATAAGTTGGAGTTAATTTCATATTTTGTCCTAAATTTATATATGTCAGTCCACTTTTAGTTTTTCTTTTTTTTTTTTTTTCAAAACATTCCCGTTTGGTCCTAGTATTATTGTCGCATGATCATTTTTGGTTTTCTATCAACAAAATTATTTAAATGACGTTAAATACAAGGGCATTTTTGTCTATTCAATTCTAAGTGTTAAGTTATTTTCCTTTTTTTTTTTTGGTCCTAGTTTTATATGTGTTGTTTCACTTTTAGTTTTTTTTTTTTTTTTTTTTTCAAAACATTCTTGTTAGTCCTAACATTATTGTGGCATGACCATTTTTTGGCCATCCGGCAACAAATATGTTTAAATAACATTTGAAATGACGTTATTAACTACTCAAAATCTGCTTTTTCTTCTTGGCAAAAAGTGCAATTAGGCCACTGAACACCCCAAATGTATACAATTTCATATGATAGTAAGTTACCATCAATTTTATCAAGTTGCTTGCTTACATGGATGGTGAATTGACATTTTTAAATAATTTTTAATAATAAACTTTAAAAATTAAAAATTAAAAATTAAAAAATAATTATTTAAAAAAAAAAAAAAAAAAAAAAAAAAACTACGACCACCCCCCACCCCCCCCCCCCTCCCCCTCCTCTTTCGTCTCCAACCAAAGATGAAGAGCCTATTTTCATCTCCGACCGAAGACAAAGGAGGAGGGGGGAAGGGGATGACTGGCGGCTACCTCGACTTTTTTATTTTTTATTTTTTATTTTTTTTCTCGACTTTTTTATTTTTTATTTTTTATTTTTTTTATTTTTTGTTTTTAAAGTTTCTATTAAAAATTATTTAAAATGTCAGCCCACCTTCCACATAAAGAAGACAACTTAATGAAATGGATGATAATTTGCTATCAGGTGAAATTGCATACATTTAGGGTGTTAGTGACCTAATTACATTTTTTTTTTGTTTAATGACCAAATTACATTTTCAGGTTAGGTTCAATGGCCAATTTGAACCTTATTCCTAATTTTATTTACTATCTACAACTAATTAACATCTATAATTACCAAGTGATTAACCCAAGGTCGAAAGCACACCCAAATAAATGGACAAAACAATCTAAATTTAGCAACAGATCTACATATCTATTTTCTTTTCGTATGATGAAAAAATAAAAACGCTGTCCTGCCTTGGCCAAGAAGGCTCATGCAGAATCAGAAATGAGAAGCAACATCTTTCCAGAAAAAATATCTTCTCTTTGGATTGTCACATTCCTGAGATGCATAAAGATCTACTTGCATATAATGTTAAATTCTGGAAGCAAAAAAGGGACCATTAAGATTGAATTCAATCTTGCAAGTAGGGGTGGGAATAGGCCAGGCCCCTTGTAGGGACCTATGTTCGAGCCGATTTAAAGCCTAGTTAGGCCTAGCTCGTTCAGTAAAAAGGCCAGACTTGAGCCAATTTCAAAAGCCTATTAAACTAAACAGGCCAGGCCTATATATACCAGACTCGGCCTTCAAGCCTACAGGCTTGGCATATATATATATATATATATATATATATATATATATATATATATATATATATATATATATATATATATATATATATATATACTCCGTATTTACAATATAACTCCAAGTATATATAATTACCAAACCCTAATCCTCCACCTCCAAAATTCCATTCTAAATTATGATTCAACTATAAACATGGCTACTAATCATGTTGTAAGCGTTCTTATTGTTTATTTTTTTTATTAACTGTTCTTACTGTCATAATGTTTAATGAAATGTCGCAACTTAATTATGTGAGTTGATTGTTAATTATTTATGAGATTATATAAGATAACAAACAATAATACAATTGAATTTATTTCTAAACAAGTTAACGAGCATGCTGAAGTCATGACTTGTTTTATTTTATATTTTAATGCTATTATGTTTGCATTGTGGTGATATACTTATGTAATTATGTATTAGTTTTGTATTAGGTATATTTCTTAAATTATTTAGATATATTTATTAAAGTTTTTAAAAGTCTTAACATGTAGGCTTTAAATAAGCTCAAAGTAGGACTTTCTTTGAAGCTTTTTTAATGGCCTATATATTAAACAGGCTTTTAAAAAGGCTTTAGGCCAGGCCAGGCCACTTGTAGGCTCGGGCTTGAGCCTAACAAAAAGCCAACATACAGGCTCAGGCCCAGGCCTAGGCTTTAGATTTTCGTAACAGGCTCAAGCCTAATTTTCTAAAGCTCGACTCGGCTTGGCCTATTTCCACCCCTACTTGCAAGTTGCAAAGCGTTATAATTCCACACAGGGCAAAGCAAAATTCAGTGTTTCTGCCATTCATGACCAACAGGGCAACAAGAAATCTTACTTTCCAATGGAGAATCAAATCGAGCATAAAATACAAAAGAAAAAAAGAAAAGATGACTGGGTTATGAAAATACTTCCACATTTCACAGTATTCCAGCAAGAAAGTGTAGAGAACAAACGGGCCACCGAGTTATTGGAAACGAGCAGCGGGAGGGGAGGGTGTCCTACTGGGAGCGAGCTCTGCTGCTTTCAGCGTTTCTCACAGGGTACAAGTATGGATGAGACTGCAAAAGTTGGGGGAGGGGGAGGGGTGAAGGTAAATGTTATATCATATGAAGAGAATGAGAATCTAAGCCCAGTGTCGAGGTTTTAGGATTTTACCATCGCTTCAAACGCAGTTGGCCGTTCCTCATGATCATAACGGAGCAACTTGTCCACAAAATCAATTGCCTACCAAAAAGGAAATAAGAAGAGTATGGATATCTATCAGCAGGGCTAGGGAATATGAAAAATACTATGTGTACTCGCACTTTATACTCCCAACTTTTACTCCCACACACAAAATCTTGATGTAGACACTTGTATTGGGACCCACATGAAAAAAATAGCTTATCAGTGTCCGCCACATCAGGGAGAAAATTGCAGGAGTAAGATTTGGGAGTACATGTAGTGGAACTCAGGGAATATACATTGCTTGACTAAATATTGAGAGATGTATTTACTACCTCGGGGACAGCTAAATGTTGATTTTCAGCGTTAATGAACTTCGACCATGGTTTCCTGCTATGCCTGAATCAAATAACAGTATTTTATACATTATAAATGAAACATATTCTTTCACAAAATATTAGTCTTGTACATGGGATTCACACTAACCTTCCAACAAGGGCTGCAAGGTTTGGATCTAATTCTAAACGATACTTATTTAGATAAGCATTTAATTCATCCGTTCCTAATACCTGTGATCCATTGAAAACACAGAAGAATAAGTGTCACGTAGTAGTAGAATGATATTCCTAGTTCCTGTGTAATACACATGTAATGAATATAGTAATTCATGATGGATTTACCGCCTTCACTTTACTAGGAAACTAATTGTTCTGATATGGCCAATCCAGATCACCTCAAATTAATGATATATTAAGAAAACATGGGTAAACTAATGAAGTAACTGTCTCAACCATCTCCGTATGTACAAGTTAGAAACAATATAATTTCACATTGACAAAAACTCTGGCCAGCACATTTACCTTAGCAATCTTGACGAGTTGATCGTAATTGTCATGTCCATAAAAGAATGGCTCTTTCCGGAATATCTATATACCAAAATTTGTTGATAAATAATCATCATAAACAAGATAACAAAGCATTTGAATGTTAAAATGTAAGCATACTATTAACTAGAAAAAAGAAAGACTTCAAGGTCAAAATTCCTCACCATTCCAGCAAGCATGCAACCTAGGCTCCACAAATCCAGCGAGTAATCATAGTCTTGTAGATCAACAAGAAGTTCAGGGCCTTTAAAATACCTGTAAAAAGTGAAATTAAAAACTGTACAGATGTCAGTGTGTTTGGTAAAGGTTACAGCAGAAGCACATAACTACATAAGCCCCATCTACTACAATATAGTTAAATTTTGTAACTAGCTAGTTGTGGCAATTCATTAAGTAGCATAAGATTAGCATAGTAACTAGCTAGAAGAGATTATATATCCTTTTTATTTACTAACGTAAGCGAGCATGATTCTATTTATATAATACTTCTACACATATATACCCAACTCTCATTCATGAATAAAGGAACACTTCCACCACTGAAATAAGTCAAAACACTGGATAAAGCTTTTAGACTCATTTCTAAACTGATTGTCATTTCGCATCAACTCCAGTATCTGGAACAGTGAACACCCATATATTATGCCCCATAAAACGATATTTCATTTGTTTGTCCAAATTTTTTACCATCTTTGATCACTTTGACCCTTGAATTCTAAAAGTAGCCAACTGTAATGCTTCAACTAGGAATAATTGATCAACATCATTCTGTCTATTACGGATTATATTAATACCTTGCTGAAATCCACCATACCTTAAAGTCTACAAGAATTCAAAATTAAAGTTATACCTTGTAGGATTTCATCAAAATTAACAATTAACAGCTTAATAATGGAAAACTTATGGTAGCTACTTTGTAGATTTGGAACTTGAGGAACCATGGAGAACTAACTGTAGCTACATTGTATTGTTGGGGGACAATGGAGAACTATTGGTAACAACCTTGTATAGTCTAAGGATTCAAGTTCCAAAATAGTAGCAGCTAAAAATAGATCACCTAAAAACCTCCAACATAAGTTTACAACAAAATGAAGTAATTCTAAAACAAATTTTAAAATGTCTGATTGATAGAATGCTGCCAACCAGACAAAAGTACATCGACCAGAAAAGCAGAAAACAAACCTAGAGGCCACGCGGACATTATATTCTTTCCCAGAGTGATAAAATTCTGCGAGCCCCCAGTCTATTAGCCAAAGTTTCCTCTTCTCATGATCAATAAGGATATTGTGAGGCTTCACATCACGGTGCATGATACCTTGAGAATGACAATAATCTAATGCCTATGCATAGAGATTGTACAATGGTTACTTTTTTAGCAGACAGAAATCTTCAAATAAACCACTTATAGGGGAAAAAATAAAAATAAAAATGAAAAGAGGAAACATCAGTTTAATAACAGTGATCAGAGCTTCAATAGACAATAATAATACTATACTACATTTAGTTTTTTCATTTCCCACCCATCAGAAGAAGATTGGCAATACCCTTCTTCCCTTAATGCTCAACCAGTATTTAACGTCACTTTCTCATTTCTATTATGTCCTTCCATCACCAATCCTACCCCAGATAATTAAGAATGAGTATATTGTTTTATTCAAGACAATGATTTTAGAGCAGTTATATTAAAGAAAGACCATTGAAAAGAACATGCCAAGAAAACTTGCCTTGAGAAGTTCATAAGTGTAATATCGTATGTCAAAGTCAGAAAGAGTTGGGTAAAGCACTTTAAAATCTGTGTTATTCACATATTCAAAAACAAGGCTTGGAGTCTTTGACTGCTCATCTCTGACAATATCAAGCAACTTCACAATATTTGGTCCGCCACATAGATTCTGAAGTATTTTAATCTCCCTCTTAATCTGCATTTTACAGTAGCTTCCAGAATGAGTGTAATCAATTGTGTAAAACAATCTATTTTCACTAATAAGTAAAAAGGAAACCTTACTATCAATTCTAGAAAATAACAATTCATGTCATAAAGGTTTTGCTATAAAGTATTTTAAAAATTCTGAGACAATTTAAAAACGCTCTAACTATCACTATGTCATTGAGGGTTGCTCAGTTAATGATATTCAGAAACGATTTGGCAATCCCATATTTGATCACTTTAAACAAGTGGGAAACAGGCATCCCTCGTTGTAGTAAAAATAAAAAGGCAGTTGGGGTTATTAGTGAAGGAATCATTATCAAATATCAAGGCGATTGAAATTATTGAACCAAACAACTCCTAACCTATTTCTGTTCATTCAATTGAAATAAGAGGACATTATGCTGCTTAATATATGTTGTAATGGAAACAAAGTTCAAGCTTTTGCTAAGCTACAATAGGAGATATTCAATACTCCCAAGGATCCCATGTTAACTAGAAGAATATCATTGGTAACCTATTGATAGTGAGATACAAAAAGGCGTTCCCCCTGGAGAGCCAAGATGGATGTTTAGGTGGAAAAAGCATCAGAGCATGAATATATATTGAATGAGTGAAATACATCCCAATTCGAATTCCTAGCCCCTAGGATTCTCATAATAGGTGAACCCATTTGTACTGTCAATGTAACAAGAATTTATGCTTTGCTCATTCCAAAGTCGATCCATTTAGAAAATGACAAAAGATATATTTTATCATTGGGCTTTTGTCTGGATGTTCAATGTGATTATCCA